TTGTCTCTTTACATAAAGAACTGATTCTAATGCAGTGAAGTAGGATGAGTTTTATAGAACATAATGATTATTTGATATCATTTCATATATCTTTGTAATAGCGGATCGCTTTTCATTTCTTTTTTCATAGCCTATAAAAGTGTTCGTTGTTTACGCTTTGTCTACACAATGCAACCGTAACAGTTTCTTGATCGAGTCGATTTCGGTATTCAGATAAACCGTGAGTTTGGAACTGTTGTCTGAATCATTCGAAGAGGCATTTCTTGATCACCGAAATTACTATTGGGAACAATGACATCATGGAACGATAGCTTGGAGGGGTTGGGTGCTTGTGCAATATCCAGTTTATTATTTGGATCGATGTTCGTCCCTCTCAAAAAGCAGAACCCAGGCGATGGTCAGTTACGTTCACAATATTACTCCATGTCGTCGTCTCTTTCGAACCATTGGCTCCCTTCATTATATATGCTTCAAATCCCAAATTCGTTTTGAATTAAGTTTTGTTCACACCATCAAAATGATGATCAGTTTTACTTTATAAAATCTTTTCGTTCTATGTTATCAGCAGTAATGGTGACGCATTTCAATGTTACTGATGATTCACTTAAGGTCACTTTTTTTTCAAACAAATCAAAAGCATAAAAGGATAAAGTTTCGCTTCTTATTTAGATGTGTTTGTACTAGTTATGGTGGTATTAGTAATGAAGTTGATTGTATCGTCGGAACTGAGTGTTAGTGATACGTTTATTGCATTAGTTTGACTGTTCATTCGAAATTGTAGTGTTATAAGATTTGTTGGGTCATCAAGGTGAACGTTTCTCAAAAAGTTGATTGCAAAACCGCAATATTATGTCGAGAAGTACAATAAAATTCATGGTGGTAATCGTGTTGAAGTTGTTAATTATGAGCATAAATGAAAAATTGAAGGTATATTCGTGCAGTGGGTAATGGGTGCGTCCATATTTTGTGTTGGAATGATAGTGAACGCGTCTGTTGGATTTCCAACGTTTCACCCGTTAGCCATGCTGGGTGGTGCTCTTTGGGCGATAGGTACGTTATTCTTGTTTTGATACTTGTTGTGGACATATGGTGATGGTGCGATAATCAAGATGGTTATATGAAGCTGACAGCCACTATGGTCGATTGAATGAATCGAGATAAGTTTTATCGTAAGTGAATAAATGATTAATAAAGGCAATGTGACCGCAGTGCCAATAATATCGATGATTGGAATGGGAATGGGATTGTTGATATGGGGCACGATGAACTGCGTTTGTGGATGGTTGGTGGGGCGATTCGGTTTCTTCGGAATCGAGGCAAATATTCCGAATAATGTGACACTGAATTATATCGGGCTGATTCTCGTTCTAATTGGGTATTTTCATTAGTATTGGTTTTAATCGTTGTTTGAAGTTTGATGTTTGTTGTCATTATCTGTAATTCACAAAAATGTATGAGTAAGTTGTTTTATGGGTGACAGTCAAAACGAATCAATTATCATTACTTTTTTAGTTATTTTTACATGCTCACAGTCAGTGATTAATATTGGAATGCAGACATCGTTTTTGTTGAAAACAATCGATTAGATGAGTGATAAATTTCAGAGGGATATTATTCTCACGGGTACATCCCAATTCAAGCAGAACAACGGTTGCACTTGAACCGCAATATTCAAACTCATCGTCTTTACGCGATGACGATGAAATGAGGGTGCATTTAATACGTGATCGAGATAGCGATCATCAAACTGATGAAAATAATCCACTCTTACGAACCTATCAGTCACTTGATAAGAGATTACTGTTTGTATTTTTCATTTTATTTTATTTATTCCCCTTCAATTATTTTGGTTTTGTCATAGAAGCATTCGATGGACGTTATTTTGAATACACATCACTCATTCATTAGCTGATTGTGAGGTTAAAAGACGAAATAGAATGAGAAAATAACAGCAATGAGAGGATGTTAATGTTGATTTGAAATCAACCACTCATACTGTGAACGAATGGCGTTTCAGTGGCATTGCTTTATCGTTACTCGCTGGAGTTTTTTATGGAGTTAACTTCGTTCCAGTTATTTACATTCAGCAACATCCTGATAAGGTATTTTCATCAGTAATTATCAAAAGATACTTCCTCAACGAAAACTGAATACGCAGCTAATCAGATGTATCCAATTCAGTTCAAAGATGTCTCAAACAATGGCCTGTCATACGTATTTGCTCATTATTGCGGTATATTCATCACAACAACCGTATTCCTACTCATTTATATCGTTTGTAAACGTAATCGACCATACATCAACAACCAAACTTTGTTGCCTGCGTTCATCACTGGCTCCATGTGGGCGATTGCACAAGCCGCATGGTATCTATCTTCTTTCATGTTTTATTTTGCAATTACAATATCATATTATAACATTGCATATTATGTACCTATCAACAATAAGTTACTTTAAAGTGGTTCTGTTTTTTTGAATATTTCATTTATATTCCAAATAGTTTGATATATGAGTGAATGATTAATGTTAATGCTGAATAATATGACCGCTTTATTGTGTTTCTATTGAAGGTTTGTCGCAAATGATCGCATTTCACAGGCGATATCGTTCCCAATCAACGCAATGATGCCTGGTGTATGCGCTGCACTTTGGAGTGTATTTTATTTTCGTGAAATTCAAGGATCGCGCAATTTTCGTTTATTATTTAGTGCTATTTCAGTAACTGTTTTAGGGGCAGTCCTTGTTGCCCTATCAAAAAGTATTTGATTTTGTTACGATTCTATAGCAGTTTTTTGTTTTTGAATAATTGTCACAATGATATAACCATCTAAGTTAGCAAAGAAATTCTTAGCGAACTGATATCATTCAACAAAATCACATTATATCAGTTTATCGAGAGCGATCGTTTCGTTTATCGTTATCAACCTTAAAATCGTTTTTGTTTAATCCATGAATTATATCCCATTGTATTGCTATGAAATGGAGACTTCCGATTCTCCGAGGCTTAAGCTTGCCCAGCCTTGAGGATAGTGTTTGAGTGGACTTTGTTGTGGTTAACGTCAGGTTCACTGAAAGAAAATATGCGTTAATAAAGCTTCCGATCGAACTTTTCTTAAGCGCAGTTCAGACTTAGATTGGGCACTCTAGGCTACTTAAACTTAAATTGAAGAGTTGCGTTTGTTTTTTGCAGCAGAAATTTGTAGGCATATCCGGGGTTATATTGCCTTAAAATTCATTTTCAGCTCATCGTACATATTTCGCTTCTATTCGTTAAAGATTCACTAACATTAAGAATCTTACGTGCGATGTCCGCCTTCGTCAATGTCACTCACAATAACAGTTAAATTGTTTTGTAATCTTAAAACAATTCACTTAGTACAAATTCATCAGTTTTCCTCATCACGTGAAATGTTCACTTTGCATTATTTAGCATTGTCCTTTGAACAGTGATTGTGTT